ACACACACACACACACACACACACACACACTACACACACACACACACACACACACACACACACACACACACACACACACACACACACACACACACACACACACACACACACACACACACTCACTCACACTCTCACACTCACACTCACACTCACACTCACACTCACACTCACGCACATATCCAACACACGCACATGCATACACAAGCGCAGTGAACGCGTTCGGTTACCACAGAAATGGACGAAATCAATACTTACTAGCTATTCAGCCCATTTCTCTACTAAGCAAATGTGTACTCACATTTCATGCGTTTCGGATAATCCTGTTTTCTTCTGCCCATCGTACTATGTATGTGTTTCCGGCGTTTGTCTCTGGCCGAAATCGTGTGCTGTCTCGTGTCATAGAACACAGAGCTAGTGCAGCCGGAGTTGAATCGCCCGGTCGAAGTGAGCGAGCAGTTGTAGTTCCGCAGGCTGTCGCATCGTTCAATGGCGTGTCGATCTGTGCGCGTCCCGGAGCTGCCAGCGTTGCAACGCGCACCGACCAGCAGCTATTCATCAGTCAGATGCAATAAATCTGCCTGACAGATCCTGATGTAAAGCACTAAAGCACACAGTCCCCTTATCGAGTTTGCAGGCCTCTCAAGGACACGGGCAGCTCTTTGGAAAATTTTATTGCCAGGGCAAAATTTGCGTCGATGGCGGGAGAGACATAATGACAGTAAACACGTTGTACCACCTGCGCGGTCGTCGTCGTGTGTGGAGTTCTTAAGTCATGATTTAAAAGCAATAGGTGCGTTTTAATGACATAGTGTGTATCGTGAAGCCAAAAAACAGCGATGTTTACTAACGTAAAATGACTGTCATGTTTTACATACACAAAATAAAAATGGCTACATTTGGATCTTTACAAAAATAGCCAAAAATATACGCCATGAAACCAACGTTAGCATATTTGCATATAGGTCATGGTATAATGATTTATAATAAAAATAATCTGCAAAACCAGTCTGCGTGGATCCTTCCGTTGACTATCATTCACAACCACAACGCATAGGAACAATTTATATCTCATTACTGCGTTAAAAAAATCAATTTCGTCAAAAGATTTTTATGAATTTATAGGTTCACTTCATAATAAAACCTGTTTAAACCTATTTGTTCGGCTTCTTTTTTAAAGTAGTTTTTATAGATACATTACGTTACTGCTCAATAATTTGAACACTGGTGGCGCCACTTTCCATTGCATTCAAAAACGCGATCCAGGCGGCATCTGCGCAAATTACCAAATAGGCAGCTGACGGCATCTCCAGTTAAATATCGCCTTGTCCCCTGTTAATCTTATAAAATGGTAGCTGTGTAGTAAATGTTTAATGATATCATTATTTATTATCATATAATACAAATATTAATTAATGACATCGACATTCGTGTAGGCCTATGCATGGAGGAAGTTATACAGTATATTTCAATAGCTCCTCGATCAGAGCCAGTAAATGAGTGGCTGCGTGAGTTTGAGCGTGCCAGTGTGCATTTGGCTTGCTATAACATGTTCCTGAGAAGTTTACTACCAACCCGTTTAGGTAGCATTTATTCAAGCCAACTCCCACATACAATACAGTCATATAACACATACAACGCATACGATATATATACAGTAATAGAATCCGTTATTCAAGATTACATAACGCTGCTCTGAGACCAAACTTCGACGCGTATGGATGGCCGCCAAGGGGGTGGCAGTCAGGCAGGTGGTGCGCATCGCAAAGTCCGACCTCGCTACTTCGATGGGGCAGAACTGCCCCGCCATATTTCCCTCTCTATCCTAATGTATGGCGAGTAGGACGTCGACACCTCGGAAACGTAGCGCCTAAACTTAAAGTAAATGACATAGGGCCGAAGTTAAAGCACTTAAAACAGAGCGTGGCAGTCAGGCAAGTGCGCGCATTGCAAATTCCAACCTCACTACTTCGATGCGGCGGTAATGCTCCACCGGATTTCCCTACTTATCCTAATGTAGGACGATTGGCACGTCGGTATGTCGGTACCTCGGCGAAGTAGCGCCTAAAGTAATGGATATAAGGCCGAGGTTAAGCATTTAAAGCAGAGGGTGGCAGCCAGGCGGATGATGAGCATTTCGAATCGCGACCTCGCTACTTCGATGTGGCGGCAAGGCCCTGCCTCACGTCACTTGTGATACTTATGTATATAGATAGTGCGCGGACATGTTGGCGATCTGACGCCCAAAGGAAATGACGTAGGGCCGACGTTACGCATTGAAAAAGGAGGAAGGCTATCAACGGTGACCACCGACACGAGCGCCATTCCTATGTGTATTAACATAAGTGGCGAATTGTGGCGGGATGCTGCGAGCAAAGTGAATTTTGTAGATTGGATTTTGCCATGCATACGTGCTACGGGCTTTGGCCGCAGCATCTCGCCACAATATTTTTCTTATGCTAATGTACATGGGCAATGGTGCTCGCGTCGCTCGTCGTGTTGCCAACCAACATATAAGACTTTTTGGCCAAACCTTCGCGCTAAAATGGGTAGGGCTATGCCAGAGAAAGATGTGCATAGCAAAATCCGCTCTAAACGTTTCGGCTTTAGGTCAAATACTTTGGGCACTAAGTCGCCGAGTTACCAGTAACGCATCTAGGGCTTGTTAAGCATTTAAAACAGAGGGTGGCAGCCAGCCAGGTGATGAGTATCACAAATCCCCCCTTGCTAGCTACTATACTGTACTGCCATGCCATGTTTCGCTCCATATCTTATTTTGTGGCGATAGAGACGTCGGCAAATCGGCAATGTAGCGCACAACCGAAGAAATTTACTAGTTAGGGTCTCTCTAGTGACTCTATACATTTCTATGCACACAACGTAAATAACGTACGACCGATGTTTAGCGCTTATAACGTAGGGTGGCAGCCGAGCAGGTGATGAGCAATGCAAATTCCCACCTCGCTGCTTTGATGGGGGGGGGGGGCACTGACCCGCCATATTTCCCTCCCTATCCTAATATATGGCGATCGGGACGTCGGCACCTCAGCGACATAGCGTCCAAAATCAATGACCTAGAGTCGATGTTAAGTATTTAAAACAGAAGGTGCATGGCAGTCAGACAGGTGATGCACATCGCAGAAAATTCCGACCTCGATGGAGCGGCACTGCCCCGCCACATTTCTCTAACCATCCTAATATATAAAGGTTACAACGTCTTTACAGCATCATAATTTAGCCCTGGGTTGCACGCTATGTCGATATTAATGTACATAAAGATGGCGCTCCGACGTTGGTCACCGTTGACTGCCAAGAGAATTTTCTTCGGTCGTTCTCATACGTTCAAACTAGTCGCGGACGGACCGACGGCACGTGTGCATGGTAAAATCTGATCTACATGCTTCACTTTGCTCGCAGCATCGCGCCACGATTCCCAGCTATGCTAATGTACATGTAAAAGGCGCTCCGACGTCGGTCGCCGTTGACTGCCAAGATAATTTTCTTCGGCCTTTCTTATACGTTCAAACTGGAGCCGGGCAGGCTGACAGCACGTGTGCTTGGTAAAATCCGATCTATAATATTCAGTTTGCTCGCAGCATAACGCCCTGGGTTCCCCACTATGTCGATATTAATGTACATGAAGATGGCGCTCGTGCATCGGTCACCATTGACTGCCAAGAGAATTTTTCTCGGTCGTTCTCATACGTTGAAAGTAGTCGCGGACGGGCCGACGGCACGTGTGCATGGTAAAATCTGATCTACATGCTTCACTTTACTCACAGCATCGCGCCACGATTCCCAGCTATGCTAATGTACGTGTAAAAGGCGCTCCGACGTCGGTCGCCGTTGACTGCCAAAATAATTTTCTTCGGCCGTTCTTATACGTTCAAACTGGAGCCGGGCAGGCTGACAGCACGTGTGCTTGGTAAAATCCGATCTATAATATTCACTTTGCTCGCAGCATAACGCCCAGGGTTCCCTGCTACGCTATAATGTACATCTAAAAGGCGCTCCAACGTCGGTCGCCGTTGACTGCCAAGATAATTTTCATCGGCCGTTCTTATACGTTCAAACTGGAGCCGGGCAGGCTAACAGCACGTGTGCTTGGTAAAACCCGATCTATAATATTCATTTTGCTCGCATCATAACGCCCTAGATTCCCTGCTATGCTGATATTAATGTAATGAAGGTGGCGGCATCTATCTATCTATTCATATATAAAAAATTTAAAAAAAAAAAAAATTTAAAAATATCTCTAAACACAGGCCTACTGATATAAAAATTCATTACATAAATCTACACCCTAACCATATTAAATTCATATTCATCACAAAATATAGCTACTCTGGTGGGATATTTCGCATGCGCTTACATACTAACGTAGCCAGTTTGTGTACTGACTGGTGTTTGCAGCGGGCACCTTTCATGCAAGGTTTTCGTCATATTTCTTAAGAGAGGTCTACTGATGGAATGTTACCATATAAATCTATGCTAAAATACCTTCTCTCTATCTTAAATGCATAATCTTCGCAACATTTTATTCTTCTTGGGAGATATTGCGCATGCGCGAGCACCGACTTAGGCGTGCAGTACGGACTGAAGGCAACTGCATAATATAGGATACTGAGTGAGCGAGAGAGAGAGAGAGAAAGAGAAAGAGAGAGAGAGAGAGAGAGAGAGAGAGAGAGAGAGAGAGAGAGAGAGAGAGAGAGAGAGAGAGAGAGAGAGAGAGAGAGAGAGAGAGAGAGAGAGAGAGAGAGAGAGAGAGAGAGAGAGAGAGAGAGAGAGAGAGAGGGAGAGAGAGAGAGAGTGGGAGAGAGAGGGAGAGAGAGAAAAAGAGAGAGAGAGAGAGAGAGAGAGAGAGAGAGAGAGAGAGAGGGAGAGAGAGAGAGAGAGAGAGAGAGAGAGAGAGAG